TTCATTCGACTTTTTTAATTTGATCAGTATATATTTCATTGGACCACCCTATACATGGACAAATGGGCAACATGGACGTGCCAAGGTTATAGAAAGACTTGACCGAGCCTTTGTCACATACTCTTGGATAGATCTATACCTAGACTCCATATTGCACCATCTGCCCATCATTTCCTCGAATCATGCTCCTGTCAAGCTACTCACAGAACCGACCACAGCAAACAAAAAAATTCACTTCCATTTCTTACCTTTTTGGACAAAGCACCAAGACTGTAGAGACATCATCAGTTCAGCTTGGCAGTCTCACATCCCAGGATCTCAACATTTTCAAATAACTACAAAGCTCAAAGAGTGCAAAAAAAAAAACATTCAAGCTTGGAACCATCATACTTTTGGGAAAATACAAGACCATCTCAATAAACTACAAGGAGAAATATCAAACCTTCAAACGCAAAATAAAAACTCCCCAAAACTCCAAGACCTCCAAACTCAATATATGCATTGGTTAAGAAAAGAAGAGGGAATCTGGATGTTGAAGTCTAGAGAGCTCTGACTCCAAGCAGGAGACAAGAACACAAAATACTTCCACAAAACAGCAAACCAGAGAGCAATTCAAAGCAATTTTCAGTGGTTGAGAAAATCAACTAGGGAATGGACATGCAACAAAGAACAAATTGCTCAACTCTTTATCAACTCCATGCAAGATGTGGGAGCACTAGATGAACACTTGAGCACCAACCTCCTCTCCTTGATTCCAGTCCCAACCCTCACAAACCAACATAAAGAGAACCTTTTGCAGCCCCCGACCTTCGAGGAAGTAACTTGGGTGGTGAAACAGATGCACCCTCATAAAGCACCAGGCCCAGATGGGCAACTTTCTTTTATCAGCATTTTTGGAACATTGTGGGTCATGACATACACCAATTGGTACTACATTTTTTTCACTCTAAATACCTCCCCAAGGAAGCCAATAACACAAATCTTGTGTTTATACCAAATACTCATGACCCTATGGATATCTCACATTTTAGACCCATTAGTCTTTGTTATGTCCTTTACAAAATCATCTCCAAGTGGTTAGTGTCCAAAATGTAGCCAGTTCTAGAAGATATATTTCCCCTTTTCAATCCGGTTTTCTAAAAAGCAAGCAAATAATGGACAACATCATATTAACCAAGGAGATATTACACTTCACGATAAAATATAAAAAGGGAAAAGGTCTCATTGCACTAAAACTAAACATGTCAAAAGCATTTGATAGATTGGGTTGAAACTTCATCAAGGAAACACTCCACAAAATGGGCGTTCCAACAAAATGGATCCAAATGATCTCTCAATGCATATCCACTCCAACCATCTTTGTTAAACTAGGTGGCAAATGCTATGGCCACTTCAATTTGAAACGTGGCCTCAAACAAGGTGACCCCCTCTCCCCATATCTATCTATCATTGGAATGGAGATACTAACACAATTACTAGTGTATGCTGAAAGTGAAGGCCTCATCGAGGGAGCTAAGGTTTGAAGGAATGGCATGAGTATCACTCACCTGCTATTTGCAGATGATTGTATTATTTCTGCAAGGTGAATCTATCACAAGTTAAAGTCCTAAGCCAAATCCTAGCCATATTTGAACAACTCTCCGAGCAAAAGGCCAACTACAAGAAGTCTTCCATCATGTTTAGTAGCAATGCTCCAAGGCATCATAGAAATTTCATTTCTCACATTCTGAAGGTCAAAAAGCCTCTACAAGGCACAAAATATTTGGGCACCCGCATAGGTGTACAAGATAATAGGATATCAACACACCAGCCCCTAGTGGACCGGGTGATCTCCAAAATCACTTATTGGAACTCTAGATTTCTATCTCAAGTAGGTCGTACCACCTTGATCTAGTCAGTCCTCCAAGCCATCCCAATCTACTCCATGCAAACCTCAATTCTCCCTCAAGGAACACTCTCGAAACTGAACAAGTTGATGAAAGATTTATGGTGGCAAGTGGGAAAAAACAAGCCAAAACACACAACTCAATGGAAAAAAGCAAATCAAGCAAAGCAAATAGGAGGTCTAGGCTTTTGGAAAAGTCAAGACATGAATAAGGCAGTTTTTGGAAAATAGATATGGAGACTCATCTCCTCCCCCAACACATTGTGGAGCCAATTCATCAAACAAAGGTACTTCCCAAGTCAAAGTCCATTTCAGGTAAAAAACACTCGTAACTCATCACTATGGTGGCGTTCAACACTCAAATTTTTAAAAGAGCTAAACCAAATATATTATGGCAAGTCAGTTCAAGCAGGGACATCTCAACTTTTTCAAATCCTTGGATAACAACTATCACAGGTGGAATTCCATATCTAAAAGATCCAAACCTTGAGACTCATAGAAATCAACATGTTTCATCCCTCATGAATCCATACCGGAGTTGGAACCACCATACTTTGGCCCAACTTTTTGATGAGCCAACCTGTTCTCATGTTCTCTAAATCATCCCCAACACAGAGTCCAGTCAAGATACCGTCTTGTGAAAACGTAATACCTCAGGGATATACACAGTGAAGTCTGCATGCAGGACCTTCGAAAGCAAACAACCATCACCCTCTCAACCACATTTCCCTTGGAAAGACTTGTGGAAGTTGAACATTCCCTACAGGTGCATAATATTTGTTTGGAAAGTGGTGTGTAATGGTCTTCTTACTCGAAATAAATGCAAGAAATGGCTCCCCCTTCTGAAATATATTGTCTGTTCTGTAAAGATAACAATGAAACAACTCCACATATTCTCTTTACATGCTCTTTCACAAGGGTAGCCTGGTGTAAGCACAGGTGGGACTGAACCCAGATGGCATTAATGTGGAAGAGGAAGTCTTTGTTTCCATAAAAAAGTGGTGGGAAAGACTAAAAAAGACTTTACCATCACATGAGGCTAATCATCTCATTGGAAAAGGCTGCATTATACTATATCTTCTTTGGAGAGCCAGAAATGAACTTGTTTTTGAACACACAAACATCACCCCAAGGGATATCATCCTTTGAATGTGGGAGTATCAGTCAACTCAAGGACAGTGCATGGAAACCGTAAGGCGTACCACCCCAATGAGTATGACAAGGAACACTCTCACCTCACTTCACATTGATGGATCGTATGACTTACTCTCAGGTCTTGTAGGATGAGCTTTCATCATCAAATGCCCCGGCGGAGGCACAAGTCTTGTTGAAGGAGAACCACGTTGGGCCATCGACAATTATAATGCAGAAATGATAAGGATACACAGTGACTCCTTGCAGCTTATCTACTTTTTGCAAGATAAAAGTCAACCAAAGAAGTGGATTGAACATTTACATTGCACGCAATTGACAAGACTTTTATCTACTTTTGAACAACTTGATTTTGTACATATAAATAGAAACTACAACAAGGATGCTCATACATTGGCATATCTGGCATGTAAAGGCCAGGTTAAGATAACATACAACCCAATGTTATCTTCATCTGTACAACTATCTTTACCTTCATGAAAAGTTGGCTACTTTCCTTTTTGACCCCCAAAAAAAAATCGCTGAATGATTCAGAATTTTTTTGACATTCAAACGAATAGTTTAAAGGTATAACCAAATGACTTCCAACTACTTAAAAAACAGGATTCAATGAGTAGCCTGGACCTCTTGTAAGCAAAAAAATATGCTCACATATCATCATCAAGCTGCACATTAGGAATGTCTTCCATACACGTATATTGTATATGTTTGGCATCTGTTGATGTGTGGGTTGGAAGTACTGTTCTTTGAGAAAATAATGTCTTTTTTTTTGTTTGGAAATGTTGCTGCCAAGTAGGATGTTTTTTGGAGCAACAACGACACTTTTTGTTTGGTACTAGTGCTCCACATCTGTTTTCAGCACTGATACCCATTATAGGAAGTCCACGTCACTGCCACATCACGTCCTTGTTGGCAATAACGAGCTCCAATATGAGAAAACATCAAATTCGGCATTGCTCCAAACCACGCCTTCTCAATTTCCAAGGCATGGCTTGGAGCATCGTTTTTTATGGAAAAACGGCTCCAAACAAACAAATGATTAGAGCACCATTTTTTCTGACGTGGCGTTGATGTGTCACCGTTTTTTGGAGCAATGACATTGATGCCAAATAGACATGTTATCAATGTGCGACTCGATTTCTATGCTTTGACAATGTGTAGAATTCTTTTCTCAAAGGAGGTGTCACATTCAACGCCAAGCCGCATCCCTTAGGTGGATTGGACTCTAAATTTCCCTAAAATTAAAAAGGATAAATTGTTGAAACCTCCCCTAAAGTTTCTACTTGTTCTTGAAACCTCCCTTAAAGTTTGATAATTGTAATCACCTCCCCTACATGTTCAAACAAAATTGTAAGTGGACCCCTTCTATTAGAATTCCCTGAAAAGAGGCACAAATTTGTTCATAAAATACCCATACAATTTTACTTTGACAAAAGTGTTTATTTTCCAATTTCTCTCTACATATGAATTGTGCCACAAACCCTTCCAATCTCTTTTTTAAATTGATTTATTTTCGAAATTTGCCCTTCATATCAATTGCTCAAAGGTAAAGTAGCATCTTTAAATTCTCTCTCTCACTCTCTCTCTCTCTATTGTTTTCATAAAGTTTGTATTGCTTTTTCCATAGAAACTAGCCTCAATGTTAACTGTGTGGGTATTTTGGACATTTTCATGCCTCTTTTTAGAGGGTTCTAACAAAGGGTCAAAATGTTCATAGGGAATTATTGCAATTACCAAATTTCAGAGGGGAAATTTAAGCAATAGTCTAAAACTTTAGGGAGGTCTCGGCAATATACCCAATTAAATAATCCGACCCGAATGCCAATGCGGGTCAATGGTTAATCCGACCAGTTTATATCTTGCCCGCTTAAAGTAATGAAAATAAAAAAAATAAAATAAAACAAAACAAAGGCAAACAAAGGGAAAATGTTGCGGATCCTTCCATCCCGTTCTATGGTTCTGGCATTCTGTGATAAAATGGATAAGCCATTTGGAAAGACGGATAAGATGGTGTCCACAAGACAAAGATACCAAGCTGCTTCTGCTGGATGTTTAGAGTTCTCCGTAGAAAAAACATAAAAACCCTTGTTTCCTGCGTAATTTTTCTTTCCTTCTTGCAATTCACGACTCACGAGCAGAAAAATGGCATCTCTACAAAGCTTACCGGCCACCCATCGGACATCGTTTCCGAGTGCTTCTTCTCAGGTTCTCTCTGTCTCAGTCTTACTCTTTAGTAGAGTGCTTGTTGCACTTATTTTCTGTGGTTCCACTCAAGATGGTTAAATTACTCAATCTACAATTACTGGCTACTGTCTCAGTTGGGGCTTAAAAAGCCAGCATTCTTCCTTCGCTCTAGAAGAGGCGCTCCTTTTCTCGTCCGGGCAGAGCAAATGCCTGTTGCCTCAACTTCTCCTCGACAAGGTAAAATTTCCACTTCTTCGTTCCAATTCATCTTTCTTTCAGCAGCGATTGATGTGTTTTCTTTCCCGGTTCCGCCCCATGAACTCTGAAGTAGTACGTTATCAGTTCCATTTATAACAAAGCTGATTTGTACCTTGTCATCTGATGAAATTGATTTTTTAAAACTCCAATGGAGGAAACCCATATGAGGAAATGATGGTTTCAATCACATGAGCTATTAAACTCTTTGATGGGTGGAACTAGTTAAACGGATCGTTGTCTATTTCCACAAGGTTGTTGAAATTTATAAAAGATTTTAGGGAAGTATAAGCATTAGGCCCGAGCAACAGGTGCGCAGGGGTACAGATCATATGTGGGAAATTGGCCTTTGGTGTTGCCATAGAAGGACTGCCATCATGATCTTCAATTTTCTTTTGACGTTAGAGACGAATCCAATTGAGTTGGAACTTTGTGCTAAACAGATGAAGTAATCTCTGATATGAACCATAAAAAAACTCATCCGATAGCCTACTTCGACAATTCATTCCACTGGGGAGATGGGAGAACGATATTCTTCCTCTTCTTCTTCAACATCTTTCAAGCACAATTGATCACTGCTTTGTTAAAGAATTCCAGATTTGTGGGAACCCAGTGAAGTATATAGCAATAAAAAGCAGTGAAAATCCAGGTCTTCATCAATGGTAAAACTGCGGGAGTTAAATAAGAGATGTCTTGCCAAATCTTTCTCTTCTTCTTCAACAACATCCCACAATCGATCACTGCTTTGTTAAATCATTCCAGATTTGTGGGCACCCAGTGAAGTATATAGCAATAAAAAATAGTGAAAATTCAGGTCTTCATCAACAACAAAACTGCGGGAGTCAAATAAAAGATGTCTGGCCAAAAAGCATTGCATGAAGCATGTGGTTGAAACATCAAACATTTCCCAACTATATAAAAGATGTTTTCCCTTATTACATTTCTCATCTGAGATAAACAACGTTGTATTATTGATAAAAAAAAATAATAATAAACAACGTTGTATTGGGTGTAAGAAATGTAAGGAACAAAATTGCATATGTGTGTCCTAGCCCCTTGGCCAACTTATCTGAAACTTGACCAGTAGTACACACCGTGCTACCAAAATGAAAAGCTGATGTAATTTATCCTCCCTTTCTCTTTTAGAAACTTATATACATTTTGTGCACAGTGCTGACCAAGTGCAACGGAATTTATGTATTTCTTTTCAATTTATTTTCTCTGATTCCAGAACTGGTGCGCGCGCATGTACGCCTGATCATTATAAATTTTTAATGCCTAACCTCTAGTGATATTTGCTCAAAATTTCCAATTGTGTTTACCACCCAACAATGCCTTTATCCTATTTGCTTGACCTTCAAATCCATTCATAAGGATCTGAGAACTGGCAAATGCCACTGGGTTAGGTACATTTTATCTGAGAACTTTTTTCCCTTAACAGATAGACATGGGAGACGTGGAGTGCTCACTACTGGAGCAATCATCACGTGGGTTTCTCTGTTCAATCAGACCCCATTGACATGTAAGTATTTGTGTTCCCTCAACCCTCTGTATGCCCTGGTATTAAAGAGCTAAGCAGGTTAATATAAGTTAATTACTATTTCATGCTTTGGTAGCATTGAGAGCACGCCTGCTGATTGTGCAGTGCGTTGGTTCCTTTAATGATGGATCATATCCTAAGAGAACACCCTTGATATGGCTCAGTTGCTGCAGAAACTAAGAAAGGATTTCTGGCAGTCTTAGACAAGAAGGATGGATATTCATTTCTCTACCCTTTTGGGTGGCAGGTTTGCTTTTCTAAATTTTCTGAGATTATAATTTAGAACCATGCTCAAATGTTCCTATTAGTATAACCCATTGGGTTTCTCTGTTAAGTTGTGGTGGCCATTTACATAAATTGTAGTACTTTCCTAATAAAGCCAGATTTATTGTACCAGGAAATATACATTGAAGGTCAAGACAAGGTATTCAAGGATGTAATTGAACCATTAGAGAATGTCAGTGTAAACATGTTCCCTACCAGTAGACAGGATATTCGAGATCTTGGTCCCCCACAAGAGGTTTGTCCTATTTTTCTTATCATAATTATATATTTGACTGGCAGTCTGGCATAACACACGGTTCTATCTTTTTCCGGTGTTCGTTATTTTGGGTTAAATGTCTATGCATAATATGGAACCTTATATTGGAAATCATTATACAATGATCTCAGGTTGCTGAGGCCTTAATAAAGAAAGTTTTGGCCCCGCCTTCACAGAAAACCAAGCTTGTTGAGGCCAAAGAGGTTTGAATTCGTTTGTAATATTGTATTAATCACAACTTTAATCATGTATTTCTCTTAATTGTTTTAGAATTATAAATCATTGATTCCATTTCCTGAACCTGAAGAAAAATTGGATCATTGATGGTTATTTCTTGGTCTTTTTTCAACAATCTATTAGAATCAGATTGGTGTTCCCTTTTCCTCACTAGGAACTAGATACCAATTTTATGACCATGTATACATGGTAGCCATCTGCCTACAGTGGAGTGTGCTCATCACTCATCCCATTTCTAATGTGTTGTTATGCTGCAGCACGATGTTGACGGGAAAGCTTATTATACATTTGAGTTCATTGCTCAGGCTCCAAATTATACTCGGCATGCTCTTGCTGCAGTATGTATTGGGAATGGTATGCATCTGGTCATTACATAAATCTGTTAATACTTTCTTTCAGACTTCTCAGTTGTTATTTAGATGACTAACATGTCTTTAGTGAAGAAGAAAGGAAACATTTCTTCAAGGATCAAAATAGTAAAACCTTTATAACCCCTATATGTACTAGGGCCTGAATTCTCAGTGCCTTCAGAGAGCATTCTGTTGGCCGGTCCAAGAACAATTTCTATCAAATTCATACTTTTGAGTGGTGGGCCTTCAATTTCTTGTCTTCTAGGTTGAACTTAGGTGGCTGCAGTGCTTACAAACTTGCTTTGCCCAACTGAGATGGTTGGTGTTTAATTTTTGTTACACGTGTTGTAGGTTACTAAAGATTCATTTGCTGTGTAACAAAATAACTTCTTTAGCATCAGTTCCCCAGGCTTTACAATTTCTTTTCACTTCACTTAGCAGTCATTTCCTTGTGCTGAATTTCAACATCATTCAAACATGCTCCATTTGTAGTGACAGGGAGATGGCCAGGTCAATGATGCATGGAATGCATCACTTTGAATTTGCAATTGAACCTTGAATCTGTAGTTCCTACTTCCCCTTTTTTCTTTGTTTACTATGATAAAGATAGTTATGGATATGACACTGAACCGAAAGGAATGGCAAAACAGGATTCGTGTAACCGACCCCATAGAGTTGGGACAAGGCATGATGATGATGATAAAGACGGTTACATAAATGTCCCCAGATGGCATGAAAAAGAAATATCCAAATAATGTCATTTCATCCAAATGGATCGAATTTAATCCAATTCAATTAAATCGGATTCAGATAGTTGTTAAACCATAATTGAATCAAATCAGATCTAAAAATATTCTCTATTTACTAATTGGATTGAATTCGGATATTGCTTGATCCGATCTGATCTGATTATGTATATATATAAGTTTTTTTAGTATTAAAATTCCTTAGAATTACATTGGATTTAAGGTTTAGATAAACTTATTTTTCATTTATCGTGTGTGTATTATTTTATAAATTTATGCTAATTTTATACAGATTTACTGATATTTTAACCAAATCAGATTCAAATAGGATATCCAGATAAATAAACTGATCAAATTCAAGTTTATGTTTATGTTTTACATATCCCTCATATATTGATTAACCAGTTATGATGAAATGTATTTGGTACTGTAACCCATTTGCATCATTACAATATGGGACATCCCTAGAGAGGACATGGTTCCTGCTCTTGGTATCATGGTATGTGCATGCCAGCATGTAGGAGGAGGTAATAAAAACATAATACATGAGAAATTGAGAGTGCTGTTGTCATTCTTGTATGGAGCAATCAGAGAAAATGCAAAAAACACATGAAAGAATTCGTGTGATCTCCCAGAGACATTAATAAGGTGAAAGAAACAAATCTAGACCGTGTCGGTCAAATACCAAACAATTAACAAAAAAATAAAATAAAATAAAACTCTGTGCTAACCCTTTCTGCTACAACTTGTCCATTTTCCCCTAATTCCTCTCTGCATATTTTGTTACTCATTGGAGACATGGTACTCTGTAGGTAAGTTTTACACTTTGACAACAGGAGCCAATGAAAGGAGGTGGGAGAAGATGAAAGATAAATTGAACACCGTCGTTGATTCCTTCAAGATTTTTAATGTATGAGGTGATTATTAATTTTCCTAGATCAACTTGGTACAATGCACTTCCTGATTGTGAGCACTATTTTGCTCTGTGATAGTTGATTCTTCGTGAGTTTTATGGTAGCTGATCTGCATCACCAATCATTGTTTCATTTAATACAAAGAAAGCTGTTTTGAATTTTTGCCTTTCTAATATGAATCATCTTATTGTTTTGGACTTTTTTATATATGCTGATGTACATTTATTTTGTAAACAGTCAAATCTTCATATAGGAGAAGGTTCCCACCATTGGGGACTTTGGCTTGACAGTCTTACAGATAGGTTTTCACCAAATGTTTGAAAAAGGGTTATTATGTAAAATTCACCTTCACTTTTTCCCCATTTCTCTTAAACTTCTCCAGAGACTCCTCTGTCAGAGGTCTACCATGACGAGATGAACGGTTTTTATAAAGTTACTATACTACCCATCCCTTTGAGTTTGCCATGAATGAAAATTCTGCACTGAGGAAATTTATTATACTAACTCTACATCTGAGATTTGGGGGTTCATCTCCATCGAAATGGGTATCAGACTAAAAATCTGATACCCCCTCCACCCCCCCCCCCCCAAAAAAAAAAAAAAAAGATGTTAGCGACAGAATACAAACCAATTTACTAACAATATAACAAAACGAAATTTGCCCAAGCATATTCATTCAAGTCTAAACCCGAGCTTTAGTTAAAAGTTAAAACTTCAGACATGTATGAGCAAAGGAATGCAGGAGGGAAGCCTACTAAAGTCCACAGGTTGGTGTTTCTTCTGATAAGCCATCGATATGGGGCATATGCAGATGGTTGTGTTATAGAATGCTTCCTGAAGTCTGGAAAAGGTAATATGTATCTATTTCTATGGTCCCAAGGTTTCGTTAGTTTGCACTTCGAATTTCACCGGTGAAAATGCATAGCAGTGCGAATGGGCTTGGTGTAAATTTTGGTTTACTTTTGTCTTACTTCACCGGTGTATAGATGGCCACCCTGCACTTACGGGCTGGTAAAACTTAGCCCCCAAAACTGTTTTGCAACAAGGCCCTCTATCACTTCACCCCCCGATTCATTAACGGGGTTGATGATGAAAGTAAAACTACTAAATCGCCCATTCAAGATTCTATAGATTAATTAAAATGATAACAACCATTTCTAGAGGGCAAATTCTCAAGGTGTTTTTTGTGTCATTGTGTGCATCGAGGGAAGTTGCCAAAATCGTGGAATATGTTCCATACAAGAATTAGACATCACCCTGCTTAAATTAGTAGGTTGTCCAATTCTAGTATACAAGTCCTTCACATCTCTTGTCTCTTTCCTATGTGGGACTCTTCGCTCATACATCATCCATGCATAGATGAACTTTGTTGAAAGAAAGTGGGGAGAAACATGTGAGACTGAGAATTTTAGAAAAATCAAGTCAAAGGGACAAAATGGCCTCATAAAATAACACAATGAGAAATTTGGGGTTTTAGAAATGTTTACCATAATATTTTATGAAGTTATTTTGACAGAATGCTAATGGTGGGGGTGGAGTGCTAGAATCCATAAATTTAAGGGATCTTTTATTACAAAATGAAGTTGGGGGGCTAAGTGTCACTATACCTAAGTACAAAGTTTTTATCTGTAATTTACCCTATTTTCTAGTAATATTAATGTAAAAATGGTAAAATCATCCTATGGATAGATCCCCCAAACTATGAGGGCCTTTTATGTTTTATTTTTTGTATACCACCCTTTCGTTAGTTACAATAAAAGAAATAGCTGTCCTGAATTCTGGATTTGTTTGTAAATTGTAATGCCGTTTAGTAATTTTGCCTTTTGCACTCACAATGTTATCCACGAAAAATGGACGTATTGAACGTTTGAACATCAGAGTGATGACCTGGCAGGCCCGCTCACGTTGAATAAATCTCTATGGATCCTGAATCCTCATGTGTTAACTAATTAGCTACATCCAAATTCAAATCATCAATATTTGCACTCGGACCCGAACTTTGGCAATCACGAGTAAGATCCAGAGCCAGGTTGAATCACTTGGGTGGTGTTTGGCATGGTGGAATTATATTATTGTTACCACGTTTTGGGGTGATTAATACAAATTTATATTGAGAGATTTTTTTACTTGGAAATGTTTTGAAAATATGGAGTTTTTTTCATAGGATTACTCAACGGGTGTAGTCCATCCCGTATTTGCACATTTTTCTAATTGAAATGAAATGCTATATGATGTGTCAAAACATATTTCTTACAAATCTGTATTGATTTCAGTGTATGTGCGTGAGAAACTGAACTCTTTCATTCCAACCAAAGTTCAATGATACATAAAATTTATGTATTGCTCTCGATAATTTGAACTATGCAACCAACATATGGCTGTGTGTAACAGTTGGGAGAGCTTACAGATAATAAAGGTGTTTGAGTTTGTAAAGGAAAATGTCCTTGAACAAAATGTTTTTTCATTCACGAAAAAGTGAATTGACATAGTGAAGCTTAGGGCTGTTAAATGTGAAAACACGGATTACGTCTGACAGTCTGAGAGCACTCACTTTGTGAAACAAATATTAAGATATACTGAACAGGAGGAAATGGCATACCCAATCCCAAACAGGGCAAGGCTTACATGATGAAAAATAAGTGCTTATTTTGTTTAACCGACAAAATTACTTATTTTATTTATTTATTTTTTGCATATTTCTTAGACTTAGCTTAGGAGTACAATACAGTGTAAAACCTTGTATTTTATATATAAAATACAATAAAAATATTTATAGTTATACTATTTCCAAAATCTAAACTGAGCAGAAGTTGCATCAATACAAGGAAAATTGAGGACTTGTTTCTTTATTCTGAAGTGTAACATCTAAAAGTGCAATAATTACATTAAGAAGTATTTTGGTATTAGTGAAATTTTCTTTCTTTCGAATGCAGAGAATGTTATTCTGAATCCTGAAAATTATCAAATACCCATTTTAATTATATATGAGAGTTTTTATTTGTTTTTTTTTTTTGTAGGATATCATTGGAAAACAAAAAAAAAATGTATAATTACATTTTAAGACATAAAAAAAGATAAGAGAAAACAAATAACCGTTTTCTCTTAAAATTAAAAGATTACTCTTAAAAAATAAAAAGTTAATAGGAAATGAAGAGGCCATCTCCAAGGGATATCAAGACTTGCACCAATGCGCTTTGTATAGTTTGCAGGCAGAATCCAATCCCTAGGTGCTGGCAGTGAGATCAAATAATGTACACTTTCGTGACATTAACGTTGAAACGAAACAAGAGACATAAATTAATGTTTTCTGATGACAGCCAGATATCATCGTTGTTTACACAGATTTGACCAGAAGGTCGTGTTTGCCATTAATTTCATTAGGAGCTTTTCAAACCTATTTGCGGCTGGACCAGGTCTGAGTATGTTAACGTCACCCCAGAGCTGACAAGGGTCTCTGCCCCTCTCATGCCTACCGGTACACCACCCACCTGGTGCAATCCTATCCCTGCCCCGGTGCAAGATCACTCTGTCAATGGTGTCCAAAACTGGATCATTTGGGCGGAAGCTTCCTGCAAAAGCGGCTCCACTCCGCAACATTTTGTTTAAATCAGACAGCCTGAGATCCCGAGGCTCCTCCCCAGGAGGGTTATCCCATGCGATGAACCGCAAGTCGGAGTTGACAACTGTATTACGGAACCCTTCGGAATTGCAGACGAGAGTCTGGAAGTAGCCATGATGTGAGGATTTCATGTTTGAGAAGTACAAAAGTAGCGTCCTAGGAAGGTTGTCCCATCCCAAAATGGAGTACTCAACGAGCTTGCGACTCAGGACCACATACGGAGAGCCTGGAAATTATAAAGGAAATCACGGTCAGGTCAGAAGGGCTTTGAGTACCCAAAACAGAATATAAATCAACCAAGAGAAAATAAGGAGTTTGTTAAGGCATTCAAAGCACAAGTTTCGTGACATATTGGACCATAACATGCTGAAGATGGCACGACCAAAGAGTTCCACCTGTCCTACGACCACCTGAAAGATACCAGTTACCTTGCTGGGGTCTTGGCTGGTTGAAGCGAAAACTTGAGATTGAAACACACCCTCTCACCGGGCTTCTGGGCTTGGGGAGGGATACCCCTTCCATTTAGAGAATTAAAATATTGAATTGCTGTCACACATGGAAAGTTCCTACATGCAGCAAGGTACAGAGACAATGTAGATTATTGAATTGCTCACAAGCCTCAAATGGCCAATCCCATCCCCCCCCCCCCGGTTGCCCAATCAGATCAATAGTCTGGAACCTGGATTGACCACAGATTGTTCCTGCACCGCTGCACGTAACTGGTTGACCACGATTCTCATCTCTCTAGTCTAACAAGAAGCCAGATTTGACCAAACAAAGCATCTTTTCCTATAAAGCCATGCATGATACCTTGAATAAATTGTGAGAAAGGATCGAAGTATCAAATATGGACAATATGAAAAAAAATGGTATATTACTCAATTCTGAACATCAATACTCTCTAAAAATGATAATATCTTAGAACAAGCTTTGAAATTTCATTTTCCCTAATAAACATCAAGCTTTGAACATCTTCATTCCCCCAAATTCGCAATATTTTGTACATTGCCCACCCTGAAAACCAATAAATATGTACAATGCGCTATTCTATACATCAATACTTTGTTCCTTGACTGAACAAAAAAAGAGTAAATTCCACATCCCCCAACACACACCAAAAAAAAAAAAAAAAAATTCACATACACACTCTGTTAGCATTCTGTCCAAGTATTTGACAGAATATGCCCATGTGCTTTGTCAAATATCTTAAATACCCTGAAATCCCTTTTTCTTCATTTGTAGGGTGATTTTACGCTTTTCCATATACTATTAAAAATATATCTCCAATTATGATCTTCTCCAATAAATATCTAAACCATCAAAGTAGACCGTCAAAACCAGTCCACTAATCTTGAAAATCCAAGTACCATTCAAAGGTTTCAACTAATCTAGGCCATAGGACTGGAATGGTAGATTAAACTAAATACATGGTCCGTCAATGTGGTGTCATAATATCAGTCAAATGATCTTCGTCCTTTTCTGCATCATCATCCAAGTCTTACCCCAACTATATAGGGTCAGCTACATGAATCTTATTTGACCATTCCATTCTATTTAATGCCATATCCATTGTTAAATTATGAGTACTTAAATCATTTTTTACTATTTCAACCCCATATCCTTTTTGCTCTACAACTGGCCCTTCTAGCCCCTTCAACTTGCAACAAATCACTTCTTACATGTGATGCCAATTATCATCCATACATGTGACCAAACCATCTTAGCATACCTCCTCTCATTTCAACTCATCACAGCATACAGCCATACACATTTCAGGTCAAGTAACTGATGTACCAAAATCAACCCAAAGATCTATGCCATCAAAGTCATCTCTTAAGATTTGTGAATTAACCTCAGTCATCCAGGTGGTGTACCAAGGTTTCAATAAATCTGAGCACATCCAAATGAATCAACCCAATAATCGATGCCATCAAAGTGGTCTCTTGGAAACAACAAATTAATAATGACCATCCAAGTATGTAGTTATATACCAATATTTAAACTGATCTCAACCATCAATATAAATACATTAAGTTGGAATGTGTACTAAAGAAGGCATGAGAAAGCAAGAAATGGAATCTAACAGTAAATTTTGCTTCTTCTCCTTTTAAATTACAAGAATGCCACTCTCTCTCCAACTAAGGGAGACCTCAGCTCGGCATCTTAGCTGCTAGGGGACCTACGATCAAAGGTAGTCAAGCTCAAACTTTTGAGCTTGAGCTCAAGTCTCTAATTTGAATCAAGCTCGAGATAGACGACACCTCAACCACTAAGGAAGACCTCGGCTCAGCACCTCGACAATTGAGGGAGACCTCAATTCGGCACCTCATCAACTAAGGGAGACCTCAGCCTCGACACCTCGCCTGCTAGGGAAACCTCAACTCGACACTTTAGCAGCTGATGAAGACCTTAGCTCGGCACCTTGGCTGCTAGGCAGACCTGCAATCAAAGGTCTCACAAACCTAATCGAGTGTCTACATAGGGTGTCACCTCGGCTCGGCACCTCGGTCACTAAGGGAGATCTCAGCTCAACACCTCGACAACTGAGGGAGACCTCAGCTCGACACCTTGCCTGCTAGGGAAACCTCAGCTCGACACTTCAGCGGTTGAGGGAGACCTCGGTTTGGCACCTCGGCAATTGAGAGAGACCTCGGCTCGGCACCTCAGCTGCTTGAGAAACCTGCAATCAAAGATAGTCGAGCTCGAACTTCCTAACTTTTGACTCAAGCCAAGCTCGAGCTCGAGCTCAAGTCTCTAATTCAAACCGAGCTCGAGCCTGATAGTTTATGAGTGAGCCCCTATAACGCAGGGTCCCTTCTGCTAATAAATATATTAAGCTGAAATGTGTACGTAAGAAGGCCTGAGGATGAGGGAAATGGAATCTAACAGTATTTTTTGTCTTTTTTTCTTAGAAATTACAAGAATGTCGCTCTCTCCTACCAACTCTCTCTTGCTTTTTTTTCTTTCAAATTACAAGAATGCCACTCTCTCTCCTACCAACTCTCTCTCTTTCTTATAAACCACAACAACACCATCTCTCTCTCTCTCTCTCTCTCTCTCTCTCTCTCTCTCTCTCCTTATAAATTACAAGAATGCCACTCTCTCCTACTGAGGGAGACCTCAGCTCGGCATCTTGGCTACTAGGAGACCTGCAATCAAAGGTAGTTGAGTTTGAGTCAAGCCGAGCTCGAACTTCTGAGCTTAAGCTCAAGTCTCTAATTCGAATGGAGCTCGAGCTAGACGACACCTCAACCACTGAGGGAGACCTCAGCTCAGCACCTCCGTCACTGAGGGAGATCTCGGCTCAACACCTCGACAACTGAGGGAGACCTCAGCTTAGCACCTTGTCAACTAATGGAGACCTTAGCTCAACACCTCGCCTACTAGGGAAACCTCAACTCGACACTTCAACAGCTGAGGGAGACCTCGGTTTGGCACCTCAACAATTGAGGGAGACCTCGGCTTGGAACCTTGACTTGACACCTCGGCTGCTTGAGAGACCTGCAATCAAAGGTAGACGAGCTTGAGCTCAAGCTCAAGTCTCTAATTCGAGTCAAGCTCGAGCCTGATAGTTTATGAGCGAGCCCCCGAAACGCAAGGCCCCCTCCGCTAGTTCAATTGATGCATGAACTTTTCTAAGAAAAAAATGGGTTTAAGTAAATGGTATATCAAAAAAACCCATAGATCTATCGTTAAAAAACATCCAAATGATGTATCAACTTAAGTTTGAAATATGTTAGGATATGGCTAAAATATCAATACATTACTTGAATGGATGATATTAATCCACTACTCTAGGAGGCCACTTTAACAATTGAATTTTTTGGTTGGTTTCATACATTATTTTTGGGGACTGGATTTGCTGATATCTTGGTAATATTACTTGGATTGTCAAGATCAATTCATTAATATTAAGAATTCACTTTGATGGCCTAGATCTTTGGGTTGATTTGATACATTATTTGGATGGGCCAGATTAGTTGGCATCTTGGTACCTCATTTAAATGAATAGACTAGATGAAAAATTGATACACCATTTTTTTTGGGATTTTATTTATTTGATAGTTTGGGTCCTTTTATTTCTGTTTTATTTGAGTGTTGGGCTTCATGTATTGGGCCAGCTTAGGACCATCTTTCTTTTGTTAATCCTGTGATGTTACAGTTAAGGTTTCAAGTATTGAGAGAGGACATCTCCAGGAAGGGTATTGACATTAAAAAGTGGCCAGATGTCTTAACTCCTTGTATTTAGCATATTGATGATCCCGAAAGCCAATACATGTCAATTGGTACGCACCGACATGTTACAATATTTTGAACCTCAGGCTGTGTTTGTTTGTAATGCAAATAAATTTGCACTGATGCAAAACTATGATAGTGCAAATGATTTGAGTGTAAATTCTGACCTATTTTTGTTTCAAATTTTAGCTTATTTTATTTGATTGCACTGCAAATGAAGTAAATTAAGACATGAAAATTTTAGCTTATTTTCATGCACTACTTGTATAGCTAAAATTAATTGAAACCTCTGTGCATTACTTGGATGGTTGAGATTAATTCATCCATCTTAAGAGAACATTTTGATGGTCTATTTGGCATGATTGGGTACATTATCTGGATGGGCCACATTAGATGGAATCTTGCCAAGGTACTTGGATCATTGAAATGTTGACTGATCTTAGGGAACTATTTTGATTACCCGGACTTTAGATATTATTTGATACTTCATTTTACATGACAAGGGTGGGGAGAAGGGGGGAAAAAGATTAAGGGGCTTTTTGATAATGGTTGAAGTAGCTGAACTAATTTACTTATTACATTGTCATTTAGTAGATAAAATAACTAATTTACTTATTACATAGTAATCAACCCAACTTTAGCTTCAGCCATTAAGGAGCTTACAACCTCCTTAATAACTTATTATGGAGGTTATGTGAATCAGATGGGTTGTTTATTCTTTGTTGATCCTCATGGTGATGTGTTATCACCACCTAATGTAACTTATTTTTCTTTTTTACATTTCTAAAACACAAGACATAAGTTATTAAGTTCAGTCCCATTTCAGCTGTTATCAAATGGCCCCTAAAACTTAAAATGTCAACTGAAGTGCACAAATAGTTCAATGAGCCACTTCTTTGACAGAAAATATACACACAAAATTGGACAACTGAACAACCTTACCCAAAAGTAACTCAATGTGCAGAACTTTTGTATTTTGAATTTAATGTATTTTTTCCTTTCAGATAGTAGTAATTTTGGGACAACATTTTATATGTTGTTTACAAGCCCAACCTAAGATTTTGATTTTGTCTAAACATATTTTGTATTTAAAATTTCTTAATCAATGGTTCAATACAAAAGAACCTAGGAGTAGCTCCTATAGGTGATAAAATGAGAGAGTGTAAATTGAGATGGTTTGGTCATGTGTATGGTAGACCATCTACAGAACCTGTTAGAAAAAACTTATCTTCTAGAAGTCAAAGGGGCTAGAAGAGCTAGGGGCATACCAAAAAGAACTTCAGTAGAAGTGATAAGAAATGATTTAAGCACCATAATTTAACGATGGATATGGCACTGGACAGAAGTCACAGAACAGAATGGTCAATGGTGAAACAGGATTCATGTAGCCGACCCCATATAGTTGGGAGTTGGGACAAGGCTTAAGTAGATATTGAATTTTCTCATGATAGCGCAATTCTATAATTCTTGTTTTTCCTAACTCTAACAAGATTTATCACCCATATAGCATGTGTATAAAGCACAAAAGCATAGAGTGAATCAAGTTTATTGAGTTCTTATAGCTTATGCTAATACTGATGAGTGATTCTCATGTCCTATTGTGATTCTAGGCAATGTTATCAAACTCATATTGGACTAGATGGTTGGACTGCTAGAATGGGGATCCAGGCACGCCCATATTGTGGTTGTAGGCAATGTGCCAATGTAGTCAAACTCTTAGAATGTTGACTTGGCCAAACTTACCAATTTACACGTTGTAATGTGTTAGGGCAGTTATGGTCTCTTTTTTTTTTGTTTTGAAAGGTGTGTATTTGTATTAGAATAAAAAGAGGGAGAAGATCCCTCAATCAAAAAAAAATTATACCAGGCTCCAAAACAGTTCTGTCCAATCTGAGTCTAAAAGCATGGTTACCATTTGCTTATTTCAAAAATTTTACATTTCACTTGTTATATGTTAGGACCGCCCATTTCAATCTGAGTCTAAAAGTTGTATAGTAAAATGTGCAAAACATACCTGTGAAGAATCTATATGCCCTTGGCCGTGCCCGTTTTCTGCTACCAACAAATATTGTGCCTTTTGATGCAAGATAAAGGCCTGGATCAACAACGATTTGAATTGCCCTCTGATACCTGTGAAGAATCAATTCAATGTTTTAAAGTTTTATCAGTAATGAGAAAATATCATTGTTAACAAAAAAAGTTCAAGAATATGAAAGGTTTGAACTCTTACTCTTTCCAACCAATGTTACTAGTATGCTGAATGAAGTTAAAGTCCTTTGGCACAAAAGACAGGACATGGAGAAAATCTGTAAAAATAGGCTAAGAATGAAAAAATATACTAAACTAAATGTAGTAACTTAAGCACATTGAAAGAGGAAAAGTTTTTAGCAATTCATGTTATTATAAAACTCCACTTACCTTCTCACTGTCCATCCAGTGCCAAATTGGCCATAGCCCAGGAGAATTACACATATCAAACAGCCCTACTATCCCATAAACAGCATTTTCTTCGAGAAATACATAAGAATATGACCAAATCTTTGGGCTCACTTTGCAAAGAGTGCAAATACAAATAAGTATGTGCAATGCAAAGTCTTGTACACTGTATTTCTAATCTTGTATTTGTACTGTACATATTTGTATTTGCACTCTTCCCAACTGAACCTTATTTCCTTAATCCTCGAATCACACTCCAATGGTTGGGATCGTTTGCTCAAAGCGTTACTATGAAAAGTGGCCGACCCTAAATGGGATGATCCTGTAAGTGTATATCATAAAATGAATGGCTAACCAGTTCTGGAAGCATTTAATATGAATGTATTCAGTATATCAAAGTGTACAAATTAACTATTCAATTGACCCGGAAGATGGCCTCAGAATATTAAAACTACCCTACGAAAGGAAATAACAGCAGAAACTATAAATGTTTTTAAAACGAGTAAGATAAGAAAGAATTTTGAAACATACCGTCCTGAGATATCAATGGGTAATCTGACGCAGCAAGATTAACAAACCAATCCCAATCCTTGGCATGCCTCAGCAGAACCGCTGCTCCGTGAAGCAGAGAAGCAATGGGCGTGGACCCGCCAGAATTCACACAGTCCGCCTTACCAACGACATTCACGTTTTCAGCAGATAGAAACGCGTCAACCGAATTGACCGAGTCGGCGAGTTCCTCCCTCTGTCGCTGCGGCGTGCGGCAGTCAAGGTGCAAGAGGTACTGATTCCTCGGGTGGTACACGGCGTGAAGAAGTCTCACCATACGGGGACCGTCACCATCAGATCCCGATATAAAGTAGGCAACCCTCGGCGGAGGTGGGAAAGGGTTTTCCAGATCTGCATTGGGAGGGAAAATGCGAGGACGGTAAGGTGAGGTTCTGAAAGCGAAAAATAGAAGAAGAGAGAAGATTGAGACGGGAATAATGGAAAGGAAGGGCTTTAGAGAGCGGTTCGCCATGGTCGAGTTTTTTTGGGCCTCTCCAAGTTTTTTTCCTTTGTGCAGGGTATTTGGCGTTACGGCACGGGAGAGACTGTCAATGAGCATGGAGAATGGAGACTTGGGAGTTGGGAGACAGGAGGCAGCGGAGTATTATTATTGTCCCCAGCTTCCCCGGTTCCCCCGGCTGATAATGGTGACTTAAAGGCGGGCTTTGTCAATTTCGAATCTCCGTATACGATTCCCGGGCTACGATGCCAATCACGAAATGACACGTAATACGGATAAGGGAACGTGTACGATAATAGCGTGGTGTATCATGTCTGGGAAAGATCATAGATCATTCGGACCAAGAAGTGGTTTATTATGAGACCGGATCTACTCCTTACACCGCCGACCTTACACGTACATCCTACCATGCATCGGGAACATTCACCGTGGATGTGCCTGTGAAGCGCCATGTGTGAGAAGTAGATCATTATATCAAAAAAAGTCATGATAATAACTTAAGTAATAATCAAGAATCCGGATCTGCTCTCTACAAAGCGCGCCTCACACTGATCTCACAGCCTCTGGCCGTACATCAATTACATCTTCCATATTTAGAAATGGGACTTGATCGGCGCCTCACATGCATATCTCATCTTACATTGGGAACATTTCCCATAAATAATAACACATAAGTAATTGAGATGTGCCTGTGAGGTTGGTGTGAGGCATCATGTGAGGAGCAAATCTAGTCTCCCATGTTTGTATTTATTATTCATGGTCGTACATTAAAAACATCTTTCATATTTGTATTTATTATTGATGGAGAGATAAGGATGGCAATTTTCCCTATGGTCAATGGGTACTCGGGCTCCTGACTCAGGTTGGGTATGGGGGGTACATTGGCCGGGTCGGGGTCAGGGTCAAAGATGGGGTTATCGTTGAATTCCCGATTGGGTTCAAGGATGGAGATGGGAAATGCAACCCTCGCCCTACCTCGGCCTCGATTAATATATATATATATATATATATTATTTATATAATATTACATATTATTCATTTATTTTATTAACAAGTAACATTATAACAATTTCAAATAATAATTAATTAAAAGACAACAACTAAAAAACTCTCAAGAGTCGAGAGTCTCTTGACTCTCTTCTCTTCTAGACTTCCACTCAAGTGATTCAATAGAGGATAAAGAAATACTCAAAGAAGAAAAACTATAGAGGTAAACCCTAGTTCTTCCTTCGTCTATCGTTGCCGACCGCTATCGTCGGGCGGACGTTGGACTTCAGTACTCAAAACCCTAGTTCTTCGTCTATCAATGTCGTAGGCCCGCAACTTGCAACGGTTCTCTCTCTCTCTATCTATCTCTATCTCTATCTCTATCTCTAGCTCTATCTATCTATCTATCTATCTATCTATCTATCTATCTATCTATCTATCTATCTATCTCTCTATCTATCTCTATCTCTATCTCAGTCTCGATGCTTTCGATTTATGATTTTTTGTGCTTTTGATTTCTTATTTTTTAAATTTCAAACAGATTATAGGTACATATCAGAATCTACTTTAGATCTGAATCTACTCGCAAGTTTGAAGTCTCTCTCTCATTTAGATCTAAAGAGCAACTTTGGAAGTTCCAATAAAACTCACAAGTCGCAACTTGGTAAGTACAGACTCAAGGGCAGTGGCGATGACGTCAGAGGTGGTGGTCTCGGTATGGAGGCGAACCTTCTTGGAGGCCCTCTTCTTCTTCTTCCCCTTTTGCATGCTCCCAAATAGCTCATCGACGAGGATATCATCCATGACAAGTGATGAACTAAGTTATATACAATGCTAAAGTAACCTACCAACAGTTAGCAACCTACCAAGAGGGCTTAGACCGGCTTGCACGAGCTTATCCTCGGTCACAAAGTTTAAGAACTTCAAGCCAAGCTTTGCCCAATATCGGACCTCCTTCATTGTCTTCGGGTACAGTCTGACACCGGTAAGATTGTTACGGACCACCCATCGGTGTTACGGACCACGAAGTAGCATCTCTTCCAGGCCGGGACTTTGTTAGGGAGCTCGTGCAACAGCTTGTACCCAGGGCAAGGAGACATATAGTAACTTCGCCTATGCTCGGGTAGAACATAGGACAAGTTCTTTTTTATGGAAATGATCGAAGAAAAGATGTTGAGATCGGTTGTAATCGTGGAAAAGGGCAATGGTACCTATGATGTTACGGATGGAGTTCGGATGTAGCTGGTCTATGGCAATGTCAAAAAACTTAATGACTTCGATTATGAAATGATGGAGTGGAAGGCACAGCCCGACAACAAGCTACTCCTCGAAAACCACGATCTCGTCATGACCGTGATCCCAAGGAAAGTTGCTTAAGAGAATACTATATACAAAGTCATTGGGAAGTCTGTATCGAGCTACTAAAGGTATGATCCTGTCTGTTGTCACCGTAGATGGACCGAAGCTGTCCGGCAAGCAACTTCGCTGTGAGGTGGAGGCTGACTTGTCGGAGGCTTATTGCTCTCACCGAGGTGAGTCCGCCTCAGACGGATTGGAATCCACATCCTATGCCGAAGTGCCCACCTCGACAGGATGAGGCTCCGCGGTCTGTGCCAAGGTCCCCACCTCAGCCCCAGCGGACTTGCCGCTCCCATCTAGAAGGCTATCTAAGCTAAGACTAGACATTCTAACGGAATCGAAAGCAAGGGGATATGAACTCACCAAAAGAATACCGAAGAAACAGGACAACCTCGGACCTGGGAATAACTGACACCGAGATGGGATACTTAAATGCAACCTCAAGGACTCTAAATTCGCGGTTTTGTAGCGAAGAAAATGGGCCCTTCGGCCCCTACTTATAACCAGTATATATGGGAATCAACAACCAATATTTGCACGATCCAACGGCTCATAGGAAAATTGGCTACACGATTCCTGAGGTTGAAATCAATTTAGCGCATGTTTTGGCATCCACGGAGACTATAATCGGCTTAATGTTTGTGTGTACCTAATACGCGATCTGGGTCACTTCCTGGTTGAGTCGAACGGTTGAACAGGTCCGACCAACAGTCTGCCCTCCATATCACCTAGACTTCGTGCCAAATCCACATGGTTTCGTTTTGAATTCCTTGCGCCGGGTCAGGACCCCTGGCATGAGGAGTGGGGGGCAATTGATGATGGGTGATTTGGCACGACCTAGTAAGTAAAGGTCACGTAGACGTGATTTGCCCGAAGAGTGACAACTAGGCAAAATGAACCCAGTCAGCAGTTTTCAGAGCTCGGGTGTTTGGTCACCTCGGCATAAAACCATATCGGCATAGAGTCACCTCAGCACCTAATCTAGTTCGGGACCCAAGAACCGAAGTGACACGTAATCGACTTCAGAAGCTTCCCGACGGACTCCAAACCTCACGGGATCACGCTGCATATTAGCAGGCCTTATCCTCTCCCTACCCGGATCGGGCAAAGACGATAGACTTCATTAACTGATATGTTACTCACCGACTAAAGCGGAAACGGATATCATCTACTTAGGCCGAAGATCCTTGGACCGTTTTGTGAGACCCACGTTAACTCTGCTATATAAGGGCAACAACCCCTTTGGGCCCAGGTACGCACGATTACTTACATTCAAGCTCTCTATCACTCAAACTTTAACTCGCAACAACAACAAGAATACTGACTTAAGCATTGGAGCGACATCACCGGGTCATCCACCTTGGTCTCTTTGATCTTTGTTTTGTAATTTTATCTAACTCGCCACGTGAGCATTCCCAAGCAACCTTCCAACTAGGAGCTTCCAAATCGCGTATCATCACATAGAATGATGATTCCTATTGGTACCCGACCGGACTCTGGGGCTACCAACCATCTTACCGCTAATCTTCAAAATATGAAGCTGCACTTTGAGTACAAGGGACCTGGCCAGATCAGTTTGAATATCCTTCATACTAGACTATAAATTCCTTTATTCGTCCTCCTACTCGTTTATTGGTTCTAGGTGACATACTACATGTTCCTGCTATCGTCATAAATAATTGACAGATTTTGGAAATTTAGGTTTTGCGGTGATACAATTTAAAATTTATTTATTAACTTGACACTACCCCTAAAATACAGGGTATTAATATTGAATTTTTCCTTTATTTTACAAATTTAGGATTCAATCAAAGAGGGAAACTCAGAAAATTATGTTAAATTGTCATAAAATCATCTATTCTTTGAGTTTAATTCATTACAATCCACTACTTTTTTCCTTGAGAGTTAAATACAAAATTCATTCTTCGGTATTCTTTGATATATAATATTCACAGTTATATAATTTTTCATGGCCCAATTGGACAGTATAGAGTTATATTTTAAAAATTGAAGTATAACATGGGGTAAAAAAGTTATTTTATGGTTATAAAGTATATTTAAGTCTTTTACCTTTTTAGAATTAATTACAATGACCCGCTTGTACCATATGATAAATACCCCCTTGAACTTTCACCTTACAACAAATGCCCTTCACCTTAGAGTTTGGTCAAGTAATTTCGAGAAAGATTTTCATTCAGATGTTTTAAAAATTTTTAAATACCAAACTATTATTTTTCTTATTTATTTGAGCAATTTATGATAATATAATATTGAAGTCATCTTGAATGCTCTAACAGATCGTTGCAAATTTTTGGTTAGATTCAATATTCAAATGAATCAATAGAGGGTTGTTTATGAAGAGATACATTCATAAAGGAGTGGATAATTTTTATATTTTGGGACGAAGAGAGACGTTCATGTATGTGAAACGAAACAAGAATTTAAAGAAATTTGTTTTTCTTCTATGTGAAATGAATTACTGCTATTTTAGCTGGTTTCATTTAAAGAAAAATAGAGGTATATTTTGGGTCAATTAGAGTTTTAAGAGGAAATGGAGAGGAAAGGAAAATAAGGACAGTTAGATAGGGTATTTTATGTTATCTAATTTAAAGACAAGGAGTATTTATTACAAAGTAAAATTTCAATAGGATCTCTGTTGCAAAGGCTTCGGAAAAAGTACAGATACAAATATTAGAGAGTGCAAAAGCTTGTATTTTGTACCTTGTACATTTGTTTTGTACTCTTGCCAAATTCAACAAAGGACCTGTTTGGAAGGAGTATAAATACAGATGTGTATAGTGCAAATTCACACAAAATACCAGATCTTGCACTCTACATATTTGTATTTGTACTCTTTTCAAATTGAGCCTTAAAAGGCTGCATTTGGTTGCAGTTCAATTTTGTTTTAATTAGCAAAGTGTATAAGAGTGTAGATGAAAAAAAAATACAAATTCTGGTTTAATTTTGTTTTAGGTATTATTTTCTTATGCTTCTTATCTTATTTTACTTCATTTTTTCATGCAACCAAACAAAATAAAATAAAAATTGAAAAAAAAAATCAGAATCTACACTCAAATCATTTGTACTATCATAGTTTGACATCACTACAAATAAATTTGCACCGCAACCGAACGTAGTTGTAGACAATAAAATTTTCATGGGCCCCTGAATGGGCCTTACCCCCATAAACTCAAATTCGCTCGTGGGCCTTAGTATGAGTCATTTTATTTGGACCATGCCCATGCTCTCAAATATGTGCATCAGCTTTAACATTTAAGCTTTGCATTTGTAAGTCCATTAGCATAATGAAATGGTCCACGTGGGACCCACTATGAAGTTATGTTCAAATTCGATTTCAAATGTGAATTACAAGTTTTATTGATTTATGGAAAAATCCAACTATAACCCATCTCAAGTTCCAATGATAGAAACCAAATCAATAATTAAAGATTGAATAATTGATTAAAGATCATTATCTCTATAAATGATAAATTACCAACTCTCTTTTTTTTTTTTTTTTCGAAGGCTCAGTTTAGAAAGAGTACAAATACAAATATGTACGGTGCAAATACATACAAAATACAATATTTTACATTCTACATATTTGTATTTGTACTCCTTCCAAACTGAGCCAAAAAAGGTAAATATAGCCAATCAAGGTATATCTTCTCGTAAATGGAAATTATAACCAATGATTTAAGAGAAAATAATAGATGATAAATTATTCTCTCCAAAAGTGATAGTAATGACACCCTTTTCGCTCTCTGTAAATAGTAAGAAGATCTGATCAAACTATTAATTAAGATATTATAACAAAAAATCTATAAACAGGGGTTCCCATCGAGAGGGGGAATTGGTCAAGAAAAAAAAAAAAAAAAACTAAGTGAAATAAGAAAGTTCTTGGGAAGAATGAATCACATACACCATCTTCTTGAGAGTAAAGCAACAACACTCTTAAAGTCTTGCAAAATCCTTATCTTGATCAAGCTTTCAAAGCTCAATTGAAAATGAAGCGATTTCCATCATTGTCTAAAATACGGGAGCACGCCATACAACCATTGGCTTTAATTCAAATCAAAATCTTTAAGTTATAAGAAGTACACTATCAATAGAGAATAAGATTTTTTTTTTGGGTAATAGAATTCAAATCGAAATAATTTGTATTTCATTTATTTCAAATATATGAAAAATCAATTTATTTAATTTATCTTCATTTTTTATATTTAACTCGACTAAGTACCGATGAAATACTACTATGCGTCTGTGGGTCGTCACATATATACAGGAAAGCTAGTGGCCAAAATTTCGAGATTAAATCAACAGGGCTTAGTTTAGAAAAGTACAAATACAAAGGTTTTACACTTACACATTTGTATTAGTACTATGAGCTTAAAGCTCCAATTATTATCTCTTGCTTGACCAAATGACCGTATCGTCGATTTAACTGCACCAAAGAACCGGGGTACACTGAATCCAAAAAATAAAAAGAAACACAAATTTGAGATTAAAAAATGAACTAATAAAGCTCCAATTATGGTATCTTGTTTGACCGTCGTAGTAACTAGTGTGAATTGAAAAAAAAAAACCGGAATTTTAGCACATAAGGGCAATTTTTAGCCCAAAACAAAAGATAAAATTGCAAAGGACAGATTATTACGAATATTATCTGAACGCTATGATGTTTAGTGGGTCCATGAATTTATTACGAATATTATCATTGTTTTCATTAGTCACTTAGGCTTAGTTTGAAAGGAGTACAAATGTAAATATGTAGTGTAAAATATTGTATTTTGTATTATTTTGCATGCATTTACATATTTGTATTTGTATTCTTTTCAAACTGAGCATTAACTTTGATTTTTGTGATAAAATATTCACCTTGAATTTTTTCTTAGGCTCGGTTTGGAAGGGGTATAAATACAAATGTGTAGAGTGCAAAACCTTATATTTTGTATGTATTTGCATTGTACATATTTGTATTTGTACTCTTTCTAAATTGAGCCTTAAGTGACAAATACAAATATGTACAATGCAAATATGAACAAATACAAATATGTACAATGCAAATACATACAAAATATAAGTTTTTGCACTCTACGAATTTGTATTTGTACTCCTTCCAAACAGAGCCTAAGGAAAAATTAGGGTGACTCTTTTATCACAAAAACCAAAGTTAAGGCTCATATTGGAAAGAATACAAATACAACATGTACAGTGCAAATGCATGCAAAATAATACAAAATACAAGGTTTTACACTCTACATATTTGCATTTGTACTCCTTTCAAACTGAGCCTAAGTGATTAATGAAAACAATGATAATTTTCATAATAAATTAATGGATCTGCTAAACATCATAGCGTTAAACCTTGCTCATAATTGTCTTTGTCATTGACCCAAGCCGCCATAGTACAAGGTGGTTTATGTGAAAATTGACGATAAAGTGCCCTTTGTAATTTATCTTTTTTTTGGGCGAAATTTGCCCTCATGGACTGACCATGTTTAGTTCAATTCTCATTATTTTTCATTATTACCCAAGATGAAATTCTAAAATGGAAAAAATGGGTAAAAACAGGCAAAATGAGAAAATATTACTTTGAACGAAACACTTTTTTTCCTAAAAATTATTTTTTTTTTAGACTGACAAGTGTCCTATGTTGCTCATTTTCATTATAAAAAGAAAAATTATGTCGGCATTCACAAACTGCCATCCTAGGTGTCCAATAGTCAATGTTTACCAATTGGCATAGATGTTTTGTAAAAGTACTTTCGTAAATGTGCTTTTATAAAAGTTATTTCATAGAAGTGTTTTTTCTAAAGTGCTATATAAAAGTACTTTCGTAAAAGTGCTTTCATAAAAGTACATTTGTAAAAGTACTTTCATAAAAGTACATTTGTAAAAGTGCTTTCATAAAAGTACTTCCATAAAAGTATGTTCATAAAAGTACTTTTTTTCGTAAAAGTGCTTTTATAGAAGTGTTTTTCTAAAAGTACTTTCATAAATGTGCTTTTATAAAAGTACTTCCATAAAAGTGCTTTTATAAAAGTACTTTCGTAAAATTGCTTTTATAAAAGTACTTTCGTAAAATTGCTTTTATAAAAGTACTTTCGTAAAATTGTTTTTATAAAAGTACATTCTTAAAAGTGCTTTTATATAAGTGTTTTTGTAAAAGTACAAAGTACTTTTATAAAAGTACCTTCGTAAGCATTTTCATAAAAGTACTTTTGTAAAAGTGTTTTTATAAAAGTACTTTCGTAAACGTGCTTTAGTAAAGTACTTTTATAAAAGTGATTCCGAAAAAGTGTTATTATAAAAATGCTTTCGTAAAAGTACATTCATAAAAGTGTTTTTATAAAAATACTTTCGTAAAAGTACTTCCATAAAAATGCTTTCGTAAGCGTACTTCCATAAAAGTGTATTTATAAAAGTACTTCCATAAAAGTGCTTTCATGTACAAGTAGTTTTATAAAAGTGCTTTCGTAAAAGTGTTTTTGCAAAGGTAAACATATATGACAATAGTTTTGTAGGTAGGGATGTAGAGTTTCCTCAAATAATGAAATGAGCAAGATGGGGCATGAGTATTTTTCATGATATAGGCTAGTCAACTTTTGTGTTATGAAGCTGATTTTTCATTTAAAAAAAAATGTAGTAGTTGACAATAATTTTGTAACCAAATACTCTATTATTATTCATTCTTGCCCATTCTTAATTAGAATGATCAAGAATTAAGAGAATGAGGCACAAAACAATAAACTAAACATAAAAAAAATCATTTTTTTATTCAATTCACACCAGTTACTACGACGGTCGAAGAAGAGATCATATTTGGAGCTTTATTAGTTATTTTTTTAATATCGATTTTGTGTTTCTTTTTATTTTTTGAATTCAATGTACCCCAGTCCTGAGATTGGCTTCAGTAAATGGAAATCTGTATTCACAGCAGCCTCTTGCAACCTTACATTGGTAATATATCCCTATAAAATAAAATACAAAAATAAGAAGATAGAAGCTGAATTCCCCGGTTACTTGGTGCAGTTAAATCGACGATACGGTCATTCGGTCAAGCAGAGATAATAATTGGAGCTTTAACTCAGAGACTCAGAGTATATATAAGTGCAAAACCTTATATTTTGGATTATCTTGTATGTATTTGCATTTATATATTTGTACTTGTACTTTTCCAAACTGAGCCCTATTGATTTAACCACTAATTTTTGGCCACTAGCTTTCCCTGTACATCTGTGACGACCCACGGACGCAGAGCAGTATTTCATCGGTACTCAGTCGAGTTCCGGCACCAGGGAGCAACTTCAATCGGATTCCACAAAGTCAGCCAGCCCGTAAAATGTCAACTGGGTTCGCTAGTTTTCTTGCCGTGCTTTGTTTTATGTATGCATTCTCTAATGATCCAGTTGAAGCTCGAATTATAGGGTTCAAGCCCAGCTCAGAAAAGCTCGACGATTCTCTTGTTTATTTATGGCCATTGCCTTCGGAATTAAGTCATGGCAACGCTACGATGTCCGTCGATCCCGATCTTTCCCTCGAATTTGGAGGTGACGGCGGGAATTCCTCCATTGTTCGAGAGGCATTTCAGAGGTATAAAGAAATTATATTTAAGCACAGTTTCAGGTTTGTTGATCGTAGGACCAGGACGAAAGCAGTTTATGACATTACCAAGATTAAGGTCACCGTCGTCTCCGACAATGAAACTGTGAGTCCAGTTCCCAGCTCCACTTACTTGCGAGATCTTTATTCTGTCCGTACTGAGGCTGCTTCTTGTTCAAAAACCTGTGTGAACAGCTTCATTTAGGTGTGGACGAGAGCTATTTTCTTTATGTAGCCAGAGAAGACGGTCATTCAATTGTGAGACAAGCTGCAATCGAGGCAAGTTGAAAACTTCCATCCTCTGTCTTTGTTTTTGTAGAATTGCAGTAGTTCGTGCACAGGGAGGTGAAAATTTAGATGTAATAATTCCTGGAAGTTATACTCTCTTCATGGAACTGAGGCTAAAAAGGCTATTGTGATTACTGGTCAACTTCGTATAAAATGCTCGAAATTGGATTTACTACTTCATTGTGTTTTTCAATGTACAAATTAATAGAAAGATTTTGGACTATGTGACAGTTTGATGATTGGCTAACTTCACTCTATTGATTTTTGACAAGAACCAACTCTGTTTTATTCCTTTACTACTTATTAATGTCTATATGAAGTTTAATAATCAATCAATAACCTTTCACATCTTCATTTGTTTTATTTATTATTCCTTTTTGTTATTTATTATTCATGATTTTTTAAGCTTTGAAGCTTGCATGTCCTAATTTCCCACTCTATCCAGTCAAGGGACTCTTTATATGTAATACATTTCAACTTCTTGTTACTGTCCTAGAACATTCCAACATAGTGTCTTGTTTTGTACCAATCCTCCAAAAAAGAAGTTAGTGTTTGACTTATGAAATTTTAAGTCAATTAATTACAAAGTTGGGTTATTTTATTTCTTTTATCATAAGGGGGGAAGTATAAGAGAAATATAATATAGGCTCTTTGTTATATGTTTAGGGAGAGAGTGGTTCTTGGCCAAATCCATATTGGATTTTGGTATGTTCCTCAGGGGTTTGAGAGAGGAAAAGAAGAGTGCTGTACATGAGTTGAAGGTTAGTTTTGGGATTGAAAATCATAAGGAATCTTAAATTGTTGTCCATTCTTTTTTTCATAGTGAGGAACAAATTTATCTCTTTTGTGGACGTAGACAAAAGATTGAACCATGTAAATTGTTGCCTTTTTTTTTTAATGCTTCTTTATCATTTTTTTGCTGTTGTTCTTTATTGTGGTTCTCTGCAGCGACAACGTTTGAAGCCATCGATCCATTCCCCAACATATATTTTTGGTAAAGGGGAAGAAAACATCTACTCTTTCAGAAGAATAATTACAATCCATGTTTTGGACCCTTTATGCAAGTAATTCTGATACCATTGTGATCCCTCAAGCCCGTGGTGAGCTACTGGATACAACATTGTCAGTCACGGGAATAACTCCAGGATTATTGGTCCAGACAGGCACTACCAGGAAACAAACACAAATGACAAAATTGATCATGTGACTGGCATGACCTAGCAATTTCCCTTCAATAAGTAGCACATATATACTCCAATTAAAAAAAAGTAGCACATATATTCACAAATATCAGAAGAATAAACGTTCTTTCATTCTTTTTTTGAATTTTTTAGGGGGGGGGGGGACTGGGGATTGATAACAAAAGGTAAATCAATTCTCAGTTGTTGTTAGATTGACATGCCACCAGTTCATTGATCTCCTTGATTTGGAAGTTTGGATGCAAAGAACAAAAGTTTTCTCTTTTTGGTAATAAATAAAAATAAAAATTATTAAGAAATAAGAGTGAAGAGTGCAACAAAGGCAATTAGATATCACCTACACACACACACAAAAAAAAAAAAAAGAAAAGAAAAGAAAAGAAAAGAAAAAAACAACCCCCAAAACCAGCCTCTCTCCTCTAAAACCTTTGGACACAACCTTTCAAAGCCATATTAAGGAATAAAACACTCAAACCAGAACACACAAATAAGTGAATAACCCTATAATCACAACAGACTTGAAACTCAACCCTCCATCCCACAAGACATATTACCCACTCAACCTGACAACAAAACCATCAAACTTCCAACAGCTGACAAAAAATCCTATTACATATGACCACCATACTCCAACTTAACACTGCACAACAGATCTACCCTATTTCTGCACTGTTCTGTCTCCACTACAATCTGGAACCATCTTTTGTTCCTCTAGCATCTCCATTGGGCTATGCAAGCCCTTGGTGACTGTTTTAGGCCATATAAGGATTTCTTCAATTTGTAGACTTTCTACTCACTGCCATTAGCACAAAATCCCGGAGGTTGAATCATGTATACTTCCTCCTCCAAATCAACATTCAAGAAGACATGTTTAATGTCTAGTTGATGAAGTCCCTAGTCAAGGCTTGCTGCTAAAGAGAGAAGAACCTAGACATAATTCATTTTTGCCACTAGAGCAAATCAACCCATACACCTGTGTAAAGCCTTTTGCTACCAACCTAGCCTTGTATCTCTCAACTGTGCCATCCGCCCTATGTTTCATAGAGAGTACCCATTTGCACTCCACGGGCTCCTTTCCTTTAGGAAGGTCTACCAACTCCCATGTGCCATTTTTGTGTAGGGCATTGATATCTTCTTTCATAGCCTTTGTCCACTCAGGAACAAGTAAAGCCTCTGCAACACTCTTAGGGAGAGGAACACTGCCAATTTTTTTTTATCAGAAAATGAGTATTTTATTTACAATAGGTTTAAGATGAAGTTTTACAACTTGTAGATGGGAATGTTGTTCCCAATTTAGTACACATTTCTGTCCCACTTTAAAGTGCAACCCAAAACATTTGTTGCCTTAGTGCCCCTTGTCTGGCAAGAAAATCAGCTAGCCCATTTGCACTCCTTCTAACCCATTTGAAATCAGCCTCTATCTCATTTGCAATATTTTCCACTTCCCTAATCACATGTTTGAAGGTCCACGGAGTAAGTCTATTGTTTGTAGCCCAAGAAATGATGACTTTTGAGCCCCTCTCCACCTCAATATGCCTAAGTCCTAGCTTAGCTAGCTTCAGCCCTTGTAGTAGTGCCAATAATTCAGCTTTTAGTGGATTGCCAGTGCCAATCAGTCCTAAGAACAAAGCCAATATCCTCCTTCCAGAATTTGTGATTGCTCCTATACCTGATTGTCCCGGATTTCTAAGGGAGCTTCAATCAAAATTCAGTTTAATCCTGTTGCCTTTTAGAGGTTTCCACTCCATCCTTACTTTCTCTTTCACTCTCGAAGACTGTGCTACTTTTGTCTAGGTTCTTAGAATGTCCATGACTGAGAAAACTTGAAAGCTATGCAAGTATTTTACTTAGTGAGCTACTTTAATCGTTATTGTGCTTATCGCTTCCTCCACTGCTCTACTTTTCTCCAAAAAGATTCTGTTATTCCTTTCTTCCCATACCACCCAACAAATTGCTGCCTTTGTGGATCTCCACATTACCATCCCTCTTTTCTTTGGTTGGTTCAAGAAATCACGATTGAAAAGGCCTGCCACTTCTTGAGGGGGAACCCACCTGTAACCAAAGAAAACACAAAAGAACTCCCAAATGTGATGCACAAAGGAACAAAATATTAATAAATGTAAAAGGGTCTCACCACTTTCCTTACAAAGGGAGCACAAATGTGGAGAAAGAAAAGCAAAAGGCTTTCTTCTCTACAATATATCACAAGTATTTACCTTGCCAAGGAAAAGTTCCCAACAGAAAGCTTGAATTTTGGGGGGGATAGGCTTACTCTAGATTTATTTCACAGGGAAATCCCCAATTAGGATGCTAGGTGAAGCAAGAACATTGAAGAAAGAAGAACAAGTAAATAGACTATCTGATGAGCCTACCCAAATTTTGGAATATTCAAGGACAGGTCCAAGTGAACTTGTCCTAGTAGATCTAGTAAATGAACTAAGGACTCAAATTCATTTTCCCCAAGGCCCCTTCTGAAACCCAAATTCCAATTAACCCCATTTGGATTAGGTGTTACCAAATTAGACACAATTTCCCCCTTAAGGTTTGAGAGAGTATAGAGATCAAGAAATTGATCTTTAAGTGGGATTTCTCCTACCCAAAGATCTTCCCAGAAATGAACTTTATTACCTTGTCCCACATCAAATCAAATGAAGCCGAGGAAAGTAGGGTATTCATGAATTTCTTTCCAAGAAGAAGGTAAAGAAGCTCTCATAGGACAACAAATGGGTCATGGTGTGGTGTTTAGTGCATGATCTGACTCCCTTCCTTTTTACAATAGGGAGGCCCAAACCACAATTTGAGGTGTCAACATCAATGGGTTCAGGAGTTTCAACTGGAATAATAGTACCTGGGTGTGGAGAGGGATCCAACTCATGAGAGTTTGGTGGCATTGGTTGCATAGTTTCTGGCTGCTCCGTGGCTATTGAACTTTGTTGGCCTTGGCTTTTGTAACGTTGTCTCTGGAAAACACAAAATGGAGGAGGGCTAGGAGGATAAGGCAATAAAATTGGTGTCTGTTTTTGTTTCTCCTCACCTAGACTCTCCCCTTGAGGGGAAATAGGAAAATAGGGAACATCTTCAAAGAAAGAGGCATCCATAGAGGCAAAATATTTTTTGGAAATGAGATCAAAGCAATGATAACCTTTCTGAGAAAGAGGGTACCCGAGGAAAACACACACAATAGCCTTGAGATCAAGTTTGCCACAATTAGGAGAGAGATCATGAACAAAGCACTGACACCCAAAAATACACATAGGTATAGGGAACATTGGGGCCTTAGGAAAGAGAAGCTGATGAGGAAACCTATATTTCAACAATCGAGATGGTGCCCTATTGATAACATAGGCAATAGTCATAACAATATCCACCCAAAATCTTTTTAGAACATGCATTTGCAACAACTGTCCCTGAGCAACTTCTAGAAGATGATGATTTTTTCTCTCCGTAAGACTGTAACCCCATTATGTTGAGGGGTTCTAGCATAGGAGCTTTGGTGAAGAGAGCCATAGGAAGCAAAGGAATTGGTGAGGTCACCATGAAAGTACCCCTTGGCATTGCTTGATCAAAAAACTTAAATCTTTGTTTGAAATTGGGTGTAGACCATACGTTGAAAATCTTTCACAAGTTTAGGGACTTATTCTTGTGAGCGCATAGGGTAAACTTAAGTATATCGAGAAAAGTCATTAATAAAGGAGATAAAGTATTTGTAGTCATTCTCAGTTGTGATATTAATAGGTCCCCAAACATTAGCACAATGTGATATTAATAGGACTCAAAAGACATATGACTCAAACGATGGTGCAACAAAATGATTTGACTCTTACTTGACTGACTCAAAGACACTGAGATCGCAAGGCCAACTTTATTCCCAAAACATAGAGACCATCAACCATGTTCCCTTTACCAATCGTCTTCCTAGAGGCCAAGTCCTGAAAAACACAAGAGTGAGGAGGAAATGTTACTGAATAGTTCAAAGCATGTGTAATACTGGTAATGGACAACAAGTTAATGGACAACCTTTTTTTTTGATCAACAAAGAAAAATTTTATTTGATATTAGATTTAAAATTTTACAACTTTGTGTATGGGATTTGAACTCCCACACTATTACATATTCCTGTCCCTCTTTACATTGTAGCCCAAAACAATTGTTGCCTCAAAGCCCCTTGTTTAGCAAGATAATCAGCTAGCCCATTTTCACTCCTTCTAACGCATTTGAATTCAGCCTCTACCTCTCTTGCGATCTTTTTCACTTCCCTTATCACTTGTTTGAAGGTCCAAGGAGTAGTTCTATTGTTTTTAGCCCAAGAGATGATCACCTTGGAGTCCCCTTCAACCTCAATATGCCTCATTCCTAGTTGCTTAGCTATCTTCAGTCCTTGTAGCATTGCCATTAACTCAGCTTTTAGAGAGTTGCCCATACCAATAGGTCCAGAGAATAATGCTAATATTCTCCTATCAGAATTTCTGATTACTCCCCCAATACCTGATAGTCCCGGATTTCCGAAAGAGCTTCCGTCAAAGTTCAGCTTAATTCTGTTACCATTTGGAGGTTTCCATTCCATCCTTACTCTCTCTTTCACTCTTGAAGATTGTGCTACTTCTGTCTAAGATCTTATAATGTCCATGACTGAGAACTCTTGAAAGATATGCAAAGATCTTACCCAATGAGCTACTTTAACTTTAATTGTGTCGATTACCTCCTCAATTGTTCTACTCTTGTCTAGGAATATTCTGTTCTTCCTTTCTTCCCAATTCACCCAACAAATAGTTGCCTTTGTAGCTTTCCATATAACCTTCCCTCTTTTCTTTGGTTGCCTAAAAAAATCTCGGTTGAAAAGTTCCGCCACATCTTGTAGGGAAACCCACTTGCAACCAATGAGAAAGCAAAAGAAATCCCAAATGTGATGCCCAAAGGAACAAGATAATAATAGATGTGTCAAGGTTTCACCACTTTCCTTACAAAGGGAGCACATGTGAGGAGAAAGGCAAGCAAAAGGCCTTCTTCTCTGCAGCATATCACAAGTATTAACCTTGCCAAAGAAAATTTCCCAACAAAAGGCTTGAATTTTTGGGGGGATAGGCTTACTCCAAATTTCTTTTACAGGGAAGTCCCCATCCGGGTAATTAGGTGTGGCAAGAACACTAAAAAAGGAGGAACAAGAGAAGAGACCATCTGAGGAACCTTTCCATATTCTGGAATCTTCCAAGGATGGGTCCAAATGAACTTGTCCTAATAGATCCAACAATTGAACTAAAGAGGCACATTCATTTTCCCTAAGACCCCTTCTAAATCCCATATTCCAATTAACCCCATTTGGTCCAAGATCACCCAAAATGTTTATTGTTTCCCCTTTGAAGTTTGACAGAGTGTATAGGTAAGGGATGAGATCTTTAAGTAGACTATCTCTGACCCAAAGGTCTTCCTAGAAACGAACTTTATTACCCTGGCCCACATCAAATCAAATGGAATTAAGGATTGTTGGGTAAATTTCATAAATTGCTTTCCAAGGAGAATATGAGAGGCAACTTTTGCATCCCAACCATTTCCAAGTTAATGGACAACTTTAGAACATGTAAAACATTTGATAATGAAAGGCCAAAAGGCAAAGATATAGATCCCCGACCAGCAACGGAGGAGAGTGATCCATCAACTAACTTTACTTTATCTTTTCCAGAGAGAAGGATGTATGATTGGAAAAAGGTTGACTTACCAGTCATATGGTTGGAGGCATTAAAATCAGTAGTCCACGGGAATTCCGGGGTATCAGTAGGCACATGGAAAGCAGAGGCTAAGGGCCTGTTTGTTTCCTCTTAACTCTTATCTCTTAAGAGGAATCTTTTAACTTTAAGAGAAAAATGGTTGTTTGTTTCCTCTTATCTCTTATTTCTTAAAGTGCAATCATACAACTTTTTGTTTTCCAATGATACCCTCAAAAAGACAAACAAAAACTCTCATATATGGGGTCAAAATGGATATTTGATAATTTTTAGAATTCATAATTCAGAACAACATTCTCTGCATTCAGAGTTTAGAGGAAAGAAAAGTTCACCAATACCAATATACTTCTTAATGTAATTATTGCACTTTCAGATGTCAAACTTCAGAACAAACGAATAGGCCCTAAGTTACTTGAGAGGAAGAGGCAAACAAGGTAGAAGGTGTGGATCCAGAACCGCCTGTCTGATAGCCCTACCATATTGCTCCAAATGGTCACGGAAGGAGTTGATAATATCCTCCTTGAGATCAAAATTGGGGGGGGGGATCCTAAGGAGAACTCATGGTAGAAGAACCACTATGAGGCTCATGAGATGCAAAGTTGGCCGAGGTGAACTTTTGATTTGGCTTTTTGCTCTGTTCTTGTGTTGATTTCTTGGTTAGTTCATGTGCCCACTTTGGTTTTCCATGCAATTCCCAACATGTCTCACGGATGCGCCTGGATTTTTGACAGTGAGTACACCACAGTTTATCTTTATCATCTATCTTTTTCTGATTTTCCCCTTTTCTTGCTGAACTAGTATTACCTCTTACAGCTAAAGCCATGGTCTCCCCCTCAGAAGGATTTATAGCAGACCTCCTACTTTCCTTAGATTGAACCAATGCATATACCTCTTGGATAGAAAGAAGATCCTTGCTGCTTAAAACCTATGCCCGAATGGGCTCATACATGGGGTTAAGGCCTAGTAGAAAAGCAAACACTTGTTGCTGGGAGACCAACTATTTATAGGCTTTGGCATCTTTCTCACTCTCACATTCAATGCTTTGGTGGTAATCCAACTCTTTCCAGACTGATGTGAGGGCAAATAATAAGCTGATAAACTCCTCTCCCCCTGCTTACATGTTAAGATTCTGCTTGTAATTGGTAAATCCTTGCATAGTGCCTTTGTTCTGAATATGTTGCCTTGGCTTGTTCCCATACTTCTTTTCCTGTCTCAGCCCACATGAAGTTTTGCTTGACAGATGGTAGCATTGAAGTCAAGAGCTGTGACATAATCATGCAGTTCTCTTGGTCCTACTTATCATATTCAGCAGTACCAGCCCAAGGTTCTTTTATTTTTCCATTGATATATCCTGCCTTACCCCTGACTGTAATATACAGATGCATCTCCTTGGACCAAGCCAAATAATTTCTGCCATCCAGGGGGTAATAGTCATTGGAAAATTCAAGGACTCATGACCACTGTTCATCCCACCCTGATTAGAGGTGGTTCCTGAGGTTGCAGAATCTTCAGAATTCATGGAAAATGAGTCTACGTAGACAATGCTGTTTTTCTGCAGCCCACACACACAGAGAGACTCACTCACACAGCCCTCACTTTATTGTGTTAACACAAAGAACTTCTAAAACAGAATACAGCCCCTGCTGTCACACTTATTCACAGATCTGATAGACCTCTTCCAAGGCTAATATAAGCCACAAAAAAAGATGCCATTCATGCAATACTGCTGCAACCTGTCAGCCAAACCAGGTCACTTATGACCTACAGGTTCCTTATACATACAGATTTCTGGGTCTTGAGACCCACAAAGAGGGTTAACTCCCCTTACACCATTCGGTCAAAGCAAAAAACTTAACCTGTTCTTGGTAGCAGTACCAAGAACCAAGAAAAAAAAAGGTTTGGCTTCTGTCCCTGCCCAGTCCGTGAGGTTCTGAAGTTTCCAACTCAAGTAAAAAAAGAAATGAATAACACAATGACCACCAACCTCTTAAGAAGCCTCAGTCAATCCTCATCTACTGATTTCCGGAATCTGTATTACACAGTTGCAGCCAAGAAATAGGAGAAGAAGATGCAGTTGAAGTGTTCTCAGATGCAGGCCGTACTTGTCCCTTCCATTCTCAGTCCAAGGAACAAGTGGAAGGGCTTCGATCAGAAGAGAAAATATTTACAGAGCACTGTCCCGCTTTGATACCATGTTTTCAGTTGATGAAGGGAAGAGAGAAGAGAGGAGGAGGAAGGAGAGAAGAAGGGAAGAAAGAATTGAGAGAGCCCAAAAAGTTGTGCTGGCGGCGCCAGACTTTATATTTATAGATTAGGGCAACCATACAATATAAAAAGGAAGAAAAGACCAAAGTGCCCCTTGCGGCACACAACTAATTATTTTTGTTGTTAGTTGTATTTAAGGTTCAAAGTATTGAGACACCTGATGCACACATGTGTGTATTAAGTGTTTCAAGCATGCACTGGAGCTTTTTCTAGAGTCTTTTTTTTTTTTCAGAATTTTACAGGGGGTCGGCCTTACCTTGACCTACCCCCTGAAAACAACCAAAGCCTTAAGTGTTTAGCATAGTGGGGTGTATCTGACACACCCCAATATGTTGCGATTTTTTGAACCTTGGTTGTATTTATATGTACTTTCCCTAATTATTAGATAATCTGTTGTCACAAATCTGAGCACTGCCAGTGTGTTGTTTGTTTTATACACCCTTCAGTTATTTTTTGGAAATTAAATATATTACTTTGGTTTTGTTGCAGGCAAATACTGTTTACGGGGCATTACGTGGATTAGAGGTATGCAAAATGATGTATTTGTGGCCATCAATTGGAGACTAGAGTAATGCATACAAATAGTTATAAGGTTTTTTAATCAGGTGAAGTTGGGAAAATCCCTATATGACCTCATCTATTTCTGCCACATGAGGAATCATGTGGTCAATCCCGACCATTCATCCAATGCTGGACCTTTTGCATTGGCTATGTATTTAAGTGCTGTGCCCGAATCATATATTTACTTTATTTTGTATAGATGTTTAATGTTTTGGATGATTAATATTTTTAGGTTTAAAATGCCAATAAACTAAGAGTTAACACGTGGAGAGATCTTTTGATCTGAAATTTACTCCATGAACTAAGGAGAGGAGTCTAGGAACTTTGTTAGCCCAAACTAAGTTGCCACATGGAACTTTCCTGGATTTTGTTCAGATTTCATCACTAAATGATCCTATTGGAAAAGTTATATGTAGATCTATGTTACCTGAGTATGGGGTATGGGCCTTGGTTCTGGCTTCTAAGTGTCAAACTTGCTTGACCTTTTAGTCTTAGACTGTTGGATACGTCTATGGGAAAATATATTGTTTGAATTACTGTATGCACCTAGTTTGTTTTTCTAAATGTATACATGCCACTGTGTAGAAAAACGAGGTATATACTTTAATTAGGTGGATGGATACATAGCTAAAGTCGGGTGTTGCAGCCATAAATGAAATATGCATGTTTTTAATACCTCTCTTGTGCCATTATAAAAGGCTGCCATCTCTTAGTAGGTTTGATGGATATTATACATGTTGGCTTCAGTGATTTACCTTTTTTTATCTTTTTCAGACATTCAGCCAATTGTGCAGTTTCAACTATGGCACTAAAACTGTAGAAGTATACAATGCACCATGGTACATCCATGATGAGCCAAGATTTGTATTTCGTGGCCTTCTCCTTGGTATGATACAGTTTTATCTTAGATGATGACCATGTTTTGCATTCATCAACTTTGTTTAAGTGGTTCTCTTTAAATATCTTTGGGATGTTAATTCTCTCATTTGCAGATACTTCACGGCATTACCTACCAATTAATGTAATAAAACAAGTAATTGAGTCCATGTCCTATGCTAAACTTGTAAGCAATGTTATTTGTTGTTGTTTGGTCTTCCTCTATTGCTGTTTAAATTTTCAGGATTAACAAAATCCACTAGTTTAGTTCTGATCCTTTTGTTTTTCTTCTATTGTTCTTCATGTACTTCTGATATTGGGAATCACATTCAGTAGAATGTTCTTCATTGGCACATCATAGATGAACAGTCATTTCCTCTAGAAATACCTTCATATCCAGATTTGTGGAAAGGAGCTTATACAAAATGGGAGCGCTATACAGTTGAGGATGCTTATGAAGTTGTTAAGTAAGACAATACCTTTATGTTCACTTCTACTTTTATTTTATTTTTCTTGAGGAGTAACTGAAAATAAAACTGTACAAGCTCTCAAAAACCTAACTATTAGGCTGGCCACAGCCACCCAACTCTGAGTGAAGCTTCTTGTATCAGCAATCCTTTTTTGGCAGAGTCCGGACTTTGGAGTCTTTAAGGTAAACACAGATGGGGTTTTTTGGGGCCCAAATAAAGCTAGCTTTGGTGCAGTTATTAGAGATTGGATGGTGCTTGTTTGGTTGCTTGGTTTTTTGGTCCATGTTTGGCCTTTTCGTCCATCCAAGCAAAGGCAACTGCAATCAGGCAAGGTGTTTTGCTAGCTATTTGGTGCCCACATTTTCTCATCCAACCTGGAAGGAGAAAGAAACACATTTTTAGGCTGTTGAAAAGGTTAACAATTTTAATATATTCAGAATCTTTAAATCCCCTTCTCACTTTGGAACTCATGACTGACATATCTGTAAGTAGAGGTATAAACATAAAACAGTTTTTTTATTGGTAACTTTGAGTTTATTGATAAATGATTAGAAAGTGAGGTATTTACAAAATAAGTAGTTTCTCAATCACTAGTTTCAGGCTATCTCATCCTGGGGACTCGGATCTTTTTGAATGTATGCTGAAAACTAGTACCACTCCCAAACACTGTACCTTGTTCTACATCATGGGCTAGGATAGATCTCCAAAAAGTTGTTTTAATGTTTACAAGGAAGGACAAGCTTCCACTAGTAGCTCCAATAGGTGATAAAATGAGAGAGTAGATTGCGATGGTTTGGTCACATTCATAGAAGACCATATACCGTACCTGTTATAAAAAGTGATCTGTTACAAGATGAAGGGGCTAGAAGAGCTAGGGGCAGACCAAAAAGGACTTGGGTGGAGGTAATAAGAAATGAATAAAGTGCCCATAATTTAACAATGGATATGCCAATGAATAGAACAGGATGGAAAAACAGGATTTACGTAGCTGATCCCGTATAGATGGGACAAGGCTTTGATTATGATGATGATTTTTTTCATAAAATACATATTTGAATTTTTTAAGTGTTTTATGTGTTTCATGTTCGGAGAGGCGGCATCTCGCGCCTTCCCAAGGGACTGATTATGTAATTTCTTTCTGATTTAATGGAAAAATGATCTTTTATCTATAAAAAAATACATATTTGGATTGTGATCTTAGCTTTTCCCATGTTTTGTGTTTTCTAAGAGATAATAAGGGCTGTAGATGTGATTTTTTTTAATATAGTTTTGTTCTTTTTGTTTTATTGATAGTTTAGGGAGGTTGCTTTTCTTTTGATCATTGAATCTATTATACTAGGCTGTTTAATAGTTGATATAGGATTCAGATTAGTTAATGGGGAGTTCCTTGTTAGGGTGGGTTTGATTGAAGTTTAGCTTTCTGTTCTTCTCCCTTGGTGATTGTTTTGGAATGGTAGAATACTGATATGTTTCATTCTATTGCCAATGGGCATATTTATACAGTAAGCTTCTGCAATAAATAGAAAGAAGTAAAAATAGAAAGAAGAGAAAATAGAAAGTACAAAAATAGAAAGAAAGAAATAGAAAGAAAAAACTTTCTAAATCAATCCTTCCACAATCTTAGGAATATATACAATTCTATTTTCAGATCTGAACCAGTAACCCCACGTTTTCCAACACT